TATTTTTTCCCTGCAGAATGGCTCATGGATTTGAATCTCCAAACTTTTGGTTAGCAGCCCAATGTGTTAACCACAGTACTACCAGAGCTCCTAGTGGGTAGACAAGAGTACGTATCTACTTTCTTCCTGGGCTTGAAAAGGTAAAATGTTGTGGATATCTGAGAAATGGAGAAGGAAAGAAAACTCATGTTGGTTGGGGCAGGAAAAGGTAACAAGAAACAGTTTTCATTTCTCCTGGAATCCAGATTTCTGGGGTCCATGGAGTTGGATTGACTCACATAAGACATATGCCCATAAAATGTCCTTTTGAACCTTGAGCCTTGAAGAAAAAAATTTTTTTTTAAAGTTACCTTTGAGTCAAATAATGAGTTTGATAAATTAGTAATGCTGTTTTGCCTTGGGGATTGTACTCTTTTGAAGAATTCAGTTGTTTTCGGGAAACGGACTTCAAAGGGCAGACTGGGAGCTATGTTTTAGAGTAAATAAGTAATTTTCATTGTTCTTCAACAATGCTGCATGGAATCCTTCTTGACCATGAATCATTTGTTAGTTCTCTCTTGGCCTTTTTTCTATGGCAGCGCTGGTAAGTTTTGGTATAAGAGTGTCTTGAAGTTCTCCCATCTTCAGAATATTTTGGACTCTAGTTAAAATATTACCCTGATTTGCAAATCATATCTTAAATAAACTTCAATCTGTCTCTCTTAGTAGGCTTAATATGATTTTTTTTTTTTAACAGAACCAACAGCAGATTACTATACAAACTTCCTAGTTCACAAATTTACCCAGAGCCATCTTGATTACCATTATTATTGAAACATTTTATTAAATCCTAAATAATATATAGGAGCTCTAGTGGCATAGTGCCTAAGGCATTTGACTGCTAACCAGAAGGCTGATGGTTCAAACCCACCAGCCACTCCTCGAAAGGAAGATTGTGATGTGCTGGTAAATGTTTACCGACCAACTCTTTTGTAAAAAAAAGACATTATTAGTAATCTTTGCTGATTTCTGTAGTGTAAAAACCTCCCACCATGGGCAATATCAATCTTTTAACATGATACCACTGAACATGGAGTTGGGAGGAAATACATAGTAGCACACTCTTTTTTTAAAATTGTTATTTGGGTGAAAGTTTACAGAGCAAATTCACTTTTCATACAGCAGTTTACATACACGTTGTCTCATGACTTTGACTACAATTTATCCCAATGCAACAGCTCCCCTCTCATTTCCTCCCCATAGTTACTTCTTCCCTGTGTCCTTTCCTCCATGTACTCCTGCCCCCTGAGCTGTCTCCCTGTGCATACACAGCCCTTCTATTTTCCCATGATTGATCTCTCCAAGGAGTGCATCTACTTCAGGTAAATGTTCAACTCATATGCCTGTCTGTTGTTTGACTGGAAGCCACAGGAGTGGGTTCAATTCCAGACCCGAAGGGCAGCTAGGAGCCATAGTCTCAGTGGTTCCATTAGGCTCTATCAGACCAGCAAACCTGGTCCTTTTTTTTTTTTCAAATGATTTTGAGTTTTGTTCCAGATTGTTCTCCCACTCTATCCAGGATCTCCTACATAGATCCCCCTCTGAGTGGTTGACAGTGGTAGCCGGGCACCATCTAGTTCTTTGGGTCTCACAGTCATATAGGCCGAGGATGACATGGTGTACCAGACCAGTCGTTTGGACTAATTGTCTCCATGAATTTTTGGTTTTCTTCATTCTTGTTTGCTCTGGATGAGGAGAGACCCATCATTGCATCTAGATGGCTGCTTGCAAGCTTTCAAGTAGTGTACTCTTATACAGTATTTCCACCATACAAATATAATAGGCATCAATAAACTCAGTATAGATAATAGTAAAGTAGCAAATAATTAGGAAGTGATGAGTTTTGAATATTTATTAGCTTTGTTTAAAAATAATTTATTTAAATGCAAGTTAATTTAGTTGAAATTTTATTAATGTCTGTGTTGAATATTCAGCTTGCAAAAGTCATGGAAATTTAAAAATCTCCTCCTGTGAGATAGTATGAGCCAGCTATGCCACAACATTGGATACATTGATAACTGCATTAGGAATTGCAGAAGGATTTATTGCATTAGCAAGTCTTCTGGGAGGTCTATCTGGATTAGGCGCCTCTCTCTGTGCTCCTATCATAGTCTGCTAGATATCAAAGCAATTGCCACACTGTATTGAAATATCATTTATTTCCCTCTACACTTCAGTTCCCTTAAGCCACTGACTATGGCATTTACCTCAATGTCTTTCTATTTAGCATTACGCCTGGGACAAATAGGCAAAAAAAATGTGCATTTAAAAAAGAAGTTTACCTAGGCCTGGCTCTTTCCCTCCAGGAGCACACAATCTAATGCTATAATACAGAAAGGCGCATAGTTACAGAGTGAATACACAGACAATTTAGTAGAAACTCTGCACAAATGTATGAATGGCTATTACCTTACCTAAAAGTGGCATTTATTGGACTAGAATATAAAAGGGATTATAGATCAGTGAAAGTCAATGTAGCAGTTCTTCTACCCCATCATGAATTTTTTAAAAAACCCAATACCATCATGTTTTCTTATCTCATATGTTTAATGATATTCTTTTAGTGTTCATATATCCATTATAGAAAAATTAGAACATACCAAAGCATATATCATACAAGGTTGATGTATTAGTGAGGATAGGTTACAAGAATTGCATCTGGAAAACAGATGAAAACCAAACCCACTGCCGTTGAGTGAATTCCCACTCATAGCAACCAAATAGGACAGAGTAGAACTGCCCCAGTGGGTTTCCAAGGCTATAAACCTTTATGGAAGCAGATTGTCACATCCTTCTCCTGCAGAATGGCTGGTGGATTCAAACTGCTGACCTACAGCTGAGCACTTTAACTGCTGTGATTCCAGGGCTCTTTGGAAAACAAGTAACAGGAATATAAGTAACAGTGACTTAAACAAGATGCTTCATTTCTCCTTCAAGTGAAAAGTTGGAGGTTTGCTGACTAATTTTGGGTGGTGGCTCTGCTCCTCAGTGTCTTTTGTTGTTACCTACTGTTGAGTTGGCCCCTGACTCATGGCAACCCCATGCGCAACTGAACGAAACACTGCTGGGTCCTTCACCATCCTGTAATCATCTGTGGATCAGAACATTGTGATCTGTTGGACTTTTGCTGGGTATATTGCCAGGCCTTTCTTCCTAGTATGTCTTAGTCTGGAAGCTCTGCTAAAACTCATTAAGCATCATAGCAACAGGCAGGCCTCCACTGACAGATGGGTGGTGGCTGATCACAAGGTGCATTAGCCAGGAATAGAACCTGGATCTCCTGTGAGGAAGGCAAAAATCTTATCACTGAACCACAAATGCCTCTAATCCAGTGTCATTAGGGGCTTGGTTTCCCTCCAGCTCTGGGCTCTGCCATCTATTGGGCATGGTTCCGTTCTCTGTTGGCCAAGTTGGCCTCCATGCCCCTGGCAGCAGGATGGAATACAAGATGAAGAAGAAAAGGCAGGGCTGATTGTCTCATAAGGAAGGTTCTCAGAATGTCCCTGTGCCATGTCTTTACATCTAATTGGCTAGAATATAGTCACAAGGTGACACGTAGCTGCAATGGAGCCTGGGAAATGCAGTCTTTATTCTTAGCAACCACGTGCTCAACTAAAACTCCTATTGTCAGGGAAAAAGAGGAAGAAAGGTTTTTAGGGTCATGTCTAAGAATCTGTAAGTCATTGAGATTTTGGTTCTATTATTTTGGACGTGTCATCAAGAAAGAAGAATCACCAGAAAAAGACATCATGTTTGTTAAAGTAGAGGGTCATTGAAAACTCAGTAAAACAGATTGACAAAATAGTTGCAACAATGGACTCAAATATATTTATCAAAGATCACAGAGAGTGCAGGTTGAGGCAAGGTTTCATTTTGTTAAACGTAAGCTTGCCATGAGTCAGAGTCAACCTGATGGTAGCTAAAACACCACCAAGGATAAAAAGTAGAAAAACTGATAAAGGGTGAAAGAAAAAGAGAAAAAGGTTATGAAAAGAGAGAAGTAAAATGATTTCCATTTCAGAAACGGAGAACACTGAGAAGCAGCAGGCTAGGTAACTTGCTTAAGGTTAATAGGTGAAAACGCAGGACATGAACACAGGTAGATTTGCTCTAAAATTTCTGTGTTTAAGAAATGGGTTGTTTTACATCATCCTTAAACCCAAACCAAACCCACTACCATGGAGTCGGATCTGAGACATAGCGACCTCTCCTTGGGTTTCCGAGAGGGTATCACTACAGAAGTAGATTGCCCAACCTTCCTTCCGAGGAGTGGCTGGTCGGTTTGAACCACTAGCTTTCTGGTTAGCAGTCAAATGCCTTATTAGGCACTACACCACCAGAGGTGGTTTATGAGTTTTTTTTTTTTTGCATGACTCTATAGTAGATGGGGCAATCTACTTCCGTAGTGATACTGCCTTGGAAACCCAAGGAGGGGTCGCTATGAGTCGGGGCCGACTCCACGGCACATAACAACAACAACAACTATAGTAGCACTTGGTAATGACAATTCACAGAGCTTTACCCTGTTTGTCTGTCAACCGGAACTTTTTTTCTGCAAAGGCCCACCCCTCTCCAAGAAGAACCCTATGCATGTTGGGAAATTGTTTTATACCTGATTTACATCCATTCCAAGTCCAAAATCGATAAAAAAAACTTTGCAGTCAACATTATTCGCTTCCTACTTAATGATCAGGGGATCATGTTTTAGATTTTCTTTTTTTTCCTACAACATCTCCAAGGGTCCCTTCTAGGTGACTTCCGGCCTAGGAGACACCTGCGCGTCTTTGCAGACTCGGCTCTCCGCTCTTTCGCCCGAAACTACACTTCCCAGTGGGCTGTTCGTCAGCTTGAATCCTCTGTCTCGGCTCCCGGAGGCATCGCGGAAAGCGTGAGGAGGCTTATGCGGGGCAGTGTGGGTGAGAGAAGTAAAGGGCAGACGATTGAGGCCCACCTGCGCTCACGCACCCCGAAATGGCTCGGAGGCAGGACGAGCAGAGAGGGGGCGGCCCCTTGATGGCGGAAGGCAAGTCCGACGAGGGGATTAAGCTTATTTTGTACCACTGGACGCATTCCTTCAGCTCTCAAAAGGTAAGGGCTGAGACCTCGGCCTGGCTGGCGGCACCAGTCGGGTTTCAGCACCAGGACAGCTCCCCTCCGGGTCCCTCTAGGGGCGCCGACCCACTGGAAGCCCGCCTCCACTGCCCTAACCCCCGTGCTCCCTCGAGGGCTGCAGTGCGCCTCGGTGGGGAGCGAGTGGAGAGCGCAGAACTAGGCTAAGATGGAAGGGCTTGACCCAGTCACTGACTCATGAACTGCGACAGGAAGCATCCCTTTCATTATTTGTGCTGGAGGCCTTGCCTGCAGGGCCTTGGAGAGTGAGACAGAGAGGAAGGGCCTTTGCTTCAACCATATACCGTAATCTGTAGTTCCTTCTTTCAGTCCTTCTTGCTTCCATTCACTTTCTCCAAAAAGGCCCTACGTACTTGTTTTTTCGATTCTAGTCTGAGGGGGACTTCTAATTAAGTTTAGGACACAAAGTGACGGTGGAGCCTAGAGGTGGAGGGGAGCTGTATAATGAGTATATTGTTGTTATGTGCCATCGAGTCCGACCGATTCACAGCGACCCTCCTTGGGTTTCCTAGGCAGTATCACTACGGACGTAGATTGCCCAACCTTCCTTCGGAGGGAGTGGCTGGTGGGTGTGAACTGCCAGCCTTCTGGTTAGCAGTCAAGTGTAATGAATATGGGAAGAATAATGCTGATTACTTATTCTAAACTTTTTAATTTATAAGACTCAAACTCTAGGAATATACCTTACTTGTCAGATCCGACCCATAGCGACTTCTCCTTGGGCTTCCAAGGTGATATCACTATGGAAGTAGATTGCCCAACCTTCTTTCCAAGGAGTGCCTGGTGGGTTTGAACCACCAACCTTCTGGTTAGCAGTCAGATGCCTTAGGCACTATGCTACCAGAGTTCCCAATTCTAGGAATAGGAGTAGTTAAAAAATACTGAAAATATTAAGGCACTGAAAGGACACCTACCAGTGTTCTGGGAAGTCATTTAACTGAAAGCCATTATTGGGTGAAGTAACCAGTGTGAACTCTTTCAGGTGCGCTTGGTAATTGCTGAAAAGGCATTGAAGTGCGAGGAACATGATGTAAGTCTGCCCCTGAGTGAGCACAATGAGCCTTGGTTTATGCGTTTGAACTCAACTGGAGAAGTGCCTGTCCTTATCCACGGGGAAAACATTATTTGTGAGGCCACTCAGATCATTGATTATCTTGAACAGACTTTCCTGGATGGTAATGTTAAGGCTATTTGTGATTTCTTGGATTTAATTTCAACACAAATATATGTATTTTCTTTTCCTCTTCTCTCTTTTTCTTTGTTTCATAATAGTGGTTTAGTGATTAAAAAGCTTTTCCATTTCCATAAGCATACAAATATAAGGCAGGCAAATTAACATAAAATTTGCATAAGCCAGTATAATTCCATTTAAAAGAATTTTATGTTAATGACAAATTTTAATGTTGAAACGTTCCTCTTAAATTCATTCTTAAAAAACTCTTCAGATATGTGGGTTTGTGATGGTGACTCATTAGCCTTGAAGTCAGATTCATAATATTGATTCCAAATGTGCACTATGAAAATCAATTTTACCTAATTTACTAAAACCCAAACCAAACTCACTGCCATAGAGTTGATTTTGAGTCATTGTGACCCCCATTGTATTTCTGAGGCTGTAAATCTTTATGGAAGTAAATTGCCCCATCTTCCTTCTGTGGGGCAGGTGGTGGGTTTGAACCGCTGACCTTCTGGTTAGTAGCCAAATGCTTTATTGACTATGCCACCAGAGCAGTTATCATTTCTCTAAGCAGCTCCACCTTAAAAGCAATAAGATAAAAAGAGGACTAAATTATAAGTAAGGATGAGTAGAATGTTGGTATACTTTGAATTCTTTGTCCTTGTTACTTCTGTATAGTTTTTATATCTTTTCTAAGGAAGTTTAAGGTTTAAATTTATATAGTATGTTTAAATACTAATAATTTTTGACAGGCTGTTATGGGTCAGGCATTTTATAAGTTCTATTCAGTCTTCAAAAGAATCTATCTGAGACAAGCAGAATAGACTAGTCATTCTCATTTTGTAATGAGGAAAGAAAAACAGATTGCCCATCTATCTTATGGCAAAGTAGGGCTGAATGCAAGTCTTTTGTCTACACACCTTCATACTACACTGACTGTCTCCCTTAGTCATTGCCACTTGCACATTCTCTCCCATGTTTCTAATGATGACCCTTTAGGATGAACTGTTGTTGTTGTGTGCTGTCGAGTTGGACCGGACTTATAGTGACTCCTCCTTGGGTTTCGGAGACGGTTATCACTACGCAAGTAGATTGCCTAACCTTCCTTCCGACGAGTGGCTGATGGGTTTGAACCACCAGCCTTCTGGTTAGCAGTCAAGTGCCTTAGGCACTAAACTACCAGAGCTCCTGGATGAACTGTAGCTTCAAGGATTTGCCCCAGATTACACAGTTGATCACTGGAAGAGCTGAGAGCAAAACCTAGGGTTCTGTCTTTCAGCTAGCTACTCCTTAGGGTACATTAACTTTTTCTCTTAGTTCCCATATTATACAGTTAAAGCACTTCAACACTTCTATTCTTGCCCACTGAACTGCAGGCTACTTGAGGGCAGGGACTGAGGAGTGATTACTTTCTCCCCCGGTTTAATTTTGTGCATGGTAAATAGTGGTCATAATAGTTTGATATATGACTGAATGACTGAATGAATAGAATTAAGCTCAAGCCTAGCTAATCATCATGTCCTCACAGTCTTGCAAGAAGATTGATTGCATGGAAATGTAGTTATTCTTCATCTACCACCAGTTGTGTTGATGTTAATTGGGACAGGATGAAGCCAAAATGTAACCCCAAATTGCTGAGAAAAGAAATTACTAAGTCAGAGTTATACATATCTAAAGGAAAATTACAGTATATCTTTAACTGAAAAAGGAAATTACTAAGCCAAATGTGTATGTGTGTGTGTGTGTGTGTATGTAGATATACTACAGTTTT